CTTGCTTTAAATTAGTCATGCAAGCAAATCTTGACATATTGACCTTTTGGAGAGACCAAAAAGAAATGTATAATATTCCAGGAAAAAATATTAGTCTATGTTTAACTAAGAGCCTAACAACTGCCAAAAATCCAATTCATCACTCTAATAACAGAATTGATATGCTATTAGTAATAGTTTGAGAATGTGAATCTGTGTTTTCATCATTTTCCATATATCTCTGATTGCCCACTGTCACTTGGCTCTCTGTTCAATGCTAGAGAAGTATCTGTAATAGAGGTGAAATCTCCATAACTTCTGTTCTTCTGGAGGGAGATGTGCATGCAACAAGCAAGCAGTCAAATATAAGAGAGTATACTAGGTGGGACCTCCCTGGTGGCGCAGGGGTTAAAGATAGCGCTATCAAGCTATCGACAGCCACTGTAGCACAAGTTAGATCTTTGGCAGCCCAGGGAGCTATCCACATGGTGCCACAGACCTCTCATACCTCACCCACTGCTCCCCTCAGCAGTGTATTTCAGTCAGTCTGCCTGTTCTGCTCCCCACTCTCTCTGGTGAATCTTCTCACCACCCCCACACCTCTGGCTTATACCCCAGGTCTTGTATGCATAAATAAATAAATCTTAAAAAAAAAAAAGAAAGTATACTAGGGAGTGCATTAAATAATACAAATAAAATCACCAGGTGATTATGGGGAGATCTGATGGTTGGGGAAGTGCTAATTTGTATGAGTTCCTAGGAGAGCCTCTGTTATTAGGCAAGATCAGATCTGAAACCTAATATGCAAAGAACCTGGGGACAAGAATTCCCGACAAAGGCCAAACACAAAGGCCCAGTGGTAACACAACTGGTTTAACTGATGACTGGGATCAGAGGCTAATGGGGCTAAAAGCCAGACGCTCTAAGAAGGATGCATGGTGATGAACCGAGGAGCCACACCATGGCTCAAAGGTGTTGCAAAAAGACTTGCTTTTATTCTAAGAGCAATAGGCTCTTAATAAGTTGACAAATTTGGATTTATATTTATATTTACTTTTTATATTTATATTTAAAAATGATGATTTGGGGCTCCTCTTTGGAGGAGTAAGTATGTGTGTGTGTGTATACACTGCAGGGAGAATGCCAAGTGTGGAAGCGGGGAGACTGGGTAAAAGATTGCAGAAAATTAATGATAATTGTGGAGATGGAGGAAGGGGGACAAATGAAAAACATAGTTGGAGGTAAACTTGATGCTGCTCAGAGAAAAGGGTGACAGTGGGAGACAGGAGTCCAGGTTTCTTAAGTAAGGTGTCATTATGGAATGGGGGCTACAGATGCCCTGTGGGACATGGAAGTCAATACTCTGCCCAGGTGCCTGGCAGACCACCCAGCACACATTTGGTAATTAATAACTTTTAATGAAATGACTGATTGATAACTGATAGAAAGGGGAAGTGAGAATTTTGCATAGTGGATGATGCTTTGCATCCCTTGGCAAGGAGCGCTCAGGAAACACCAGCAGAGTGTCAGGGGCTCTGGCTGCTCCATAAATATTAATTCACAGTGATGAATCTCAAGTAAGCAATGAGTTGTCACTTCAGCTACCTGACCCTACATGGTTTCATTGGCACCAGGACCAGCTGCTTGTACCTTCTGCTCTACATCCTCAGGATTGTTTTCCTGGCGCTCTAATTCCCAACCCTGGCATCTTGCTTTGTTCTTGATCAATGCCTTTTTTGCCCTCACATGCAGAGAATGCTGTCACTGCTCTGCCCCTGTCCCTAATGACGGTCTCAGCCTGCTCTTCACAGCTTTCTGTCTCTGCCTGAATTATGGACACTGAGCACCTATCACGTGCCAGATTCTGTTCTAGACACATATAACCCATTTATTGCACCCTGCCAAATAGATTTTGCCCCTGAGTTGGATCTAAATGCCCCTGAGAAAGTAAATGCTTAGCTCTAAGTCAGGTATCCAGAAGGTGGTAGAGCAAGGATTCAAAGCAAGTCAAGCTGACGCTACAGCAGGGCTTCCCCATGGGGAGTTGCAAAGCAGGTTGGCTGTTGCTGACTGAATCAATCTGTACCCTTGACTCACCTAGTTCCCCAGTAAAGACCCCCAGGTGGTGGGCATCTGCTGAGAGTCACTAAGCATTCAAATCAGGCTGGTCTGTGTCTATGCCCTGGAGAGACAGTGCTCCCCATCTCTGTCAGCGCAGAGTCACTTGGGACTCTAAGGTGGGAATTTATCATGTTCTGGGGAGGTTCCTAAGCTAGGAGAAGCCCATACTAGGGAGTCACTAGTTATAAGATAGACGAAAAAGAATGAGTATGTTGGAGTAATACACTAGGCAAGCTTGCCAGGGGCAAAGGAAGAGGTGGCAGGGAGGAGATGGTGGAAGGCTAAGCAGGTGGGAGGCAGGGCTGTGTATAAAAGGAAAATGTAGGTGTCAGTAGCTAGCTCATGGTTGAGACGGCAAAGATGCAGGAAAAAAGCCGAATTCATTGTTCCAAAGAAATAGCTTCTATAGCTTTATGTAAATGTGTTAACAGAGCTTCAATCTGTCTGGCCACACACTCAAACTGAAAGGTTTTCTGTTGTCATTGGGCATGGTCCCTTAACCTGCAGGTCCATTACAGGGCAGTGGCGTTTGCTCAAACACCATCTGTAAGCAGAAGCAACCGTTCAGCAGCATCCAAGAGGAGGCCGTGACTCCACTCGCAGGAGGCCAAGTCCTGGGAGGTCTAGCAATTTGGGCAGGAATTAGTTGCAGTTAGCGTTGCACAGGAGGACAAAAGGAACCCAAGCTACTCCTGCTGGCACTCGTCTAAGCAGCACCTGTTCTTCCAGCACACTTGACCTTTTTTGGCCTGACACCTGCCTGATTAGCCAGGCCCCATGCTGCCTGCTGAGGAAACAGAGTTGATGAATATCCATTTCATGTTAGGTTTCACAGCAGAAAAGGGGTATGGAGTTTCTAGAGGCAAACTACCTATGAATCCAGCATCAACCAGGCATAACTTATTAATGAGTCAGATTGATAAAAGGCAGTTTGTGAAAAGCTTGTCTTAAAAGTCAGAGAGGAAAACTGTCTCTGCACAATATCCTTCCATTATAGCAGATGGTGGTGGCTCGGGGCCCACAGTTTTGCTTTGCGAAGGCATCTGTGGCATTTCCCTCTGGAATCAAGTGCAACATTAAAGAGATAGGTGGTGGCCCCTCAGCTCACTGGATGTCTGAGAGTTTCAAATGAACCCTAGGAAGGGTTTCCATGGAGCTGTCAAGTCTGTCCACTCCCACTGCTAACACTCCACCTGGTTTAAAAGACAACTGACCTAGTCCAAGGGTTTTAGAAACAAAGACATCTCTCTCCCTCACTAAGCCCCCTCCACTTACTCTGCCCTGGCCCCCAACCACACACACATACAGGTAAAATCTTAACTACATCTTTAATTACATCATAGTTTGTACTCTTTTAATATGACACTCAAAGTATCAATACCAAGCTCTCTGCTTTATTCCCAGCACCTAGATCAAAGTCAGAAGAACATAGGCTCGCCATAAAGATCTGCTGAATAAATGAACAGATGAATATCTACTACCCCCCTGAATTTCAAGTTCTGGAGCCTGACCTTGCCTGGTAACTTTTATTAATACTCCCAGGAAGAGGCCTTCATTATATTCTAATTTTACAAATATTCTTTTCATGGAAATATTTCAATTTCTCTAGCTCCCTAGACATGGCTATATTTTTTCTGAGGGGAAATAAATACTAAATGTAATGTAGGATGAAAAGAGTTTTCACTTGTTCTTAGTTCTCACTGAAAAGCTCCTTAATTTATAGCATCTCATTTAAAACTTTGTATTTGTCCTGTGCTTCTTGTGTTTGGATATTATCAAGTAATCAAAGGACAAGAGTCAGCAGGGATAGTGACAGGAGAGGATGAGACTACCGAATAAAGACTTGACTTCATCCTGGGCTTTTCCTTAAGGATCAGAGATTTTCTCCTTTCAAGTCATATTCCTGGGGAAAGAATGTCTACTCCATATTAAAATTCAGATTACTTGATGAATTCAAAAGTCCATCGACAGAAAGGAAACTATATGTAGAAACATTCACTAAACAGTGATGAATTGGCTCTGAGTGCAGGGATGTGTGTGCCTCAGTTTTGGAGGTAGGTTCAAAACCAGAGCTCACCAGGCTGTCAGAAAGTGCTGATGTTCAAGAATGCATCTCAAGAGTTGAAATTAGAGTCCTTTCTCTTTGATAAGGCAGATATGACACTTTAAAAGATAGCCCCTATTCTATATTTAATCAAAGTTTTGATAACAAAAATAAAGACCCATGGATCTTTGTTTGAAAGATATTAGTTTGGCTACTAAAGAAACTGGTCAGAATAAAAATAGAAAATAGAGCCTCAGTCCTGCCTTTCAAATCTTGTTGGCACCCAGATGATAAGAGGACTGATCAGTGAAGGAGGGCTAGGGAAAGTTCTATGGGTTGCTGGCAGTTTTATGAGTTAATGCATTTTTAAGGCTTATCTCTAAGAGTAAAAGCACAATCACATTTTTTGCAGTTGTTTTTTTTTTTTAATTTCAAGTAAATATGATAAAACATAAAAGTGTGCAAAATATGGGCGTTTTGTGTACCTAGATATTTATTACTGTCTGTATTTTCTCTGCTGGAAGCATTCCACGATTTTAGAAAAATGAAGAGAATATCAAAACAATGGGAACAAGGAAAGCAATCAGAATTCTTATTTTGAGATTTCTATAAAGAGTGTTTAATTTGCCTCTGCAACAATTAAAAATGTGAGATTTTGGTCCAAGTTAGTTTATTGGTATTTTTATAATAGTATTTGATTTCAAGGTATAAATTATTAAGATGTTACGTTTGGTGACACTCTCACAAATGTTAATAGAAATCAACTTGCAGGAAATGTGAAAGTCCTCCAATATCAACTGAGTGCTGACAATTCATGGACATTCATAAGGAGTATTGGAAATAGCTGAGTACTGACCTCCCCGGGACAAATGATCCTCTTGGGACGAGGGGCTTCTTGCTGTAACTGATACACTGTCAGGGGGAAAAAAAAAGGTGGTTATAATTAGAAAACTGTATCACAGGCCAACATGCCTTCAAATAGTCCCACCTAAGTACATTTGAAGAACTGCAAATATTTCAAACAAAAAGGGAGGATCCAGGCACATTTTTAAACTGAATAAAGTCAGATCATTTATATGGAAATTAGTCACCATCCATGTAAACTGGCAAAATTGATTTTTTTAATTCTATGAAGGCCAATTTAGTTTCATAATTGTTACTGGCATTGTTCATTTTATGGTTTTCTTGGAAGATTAGATACAACTAAAATTCTTCCAAATATTTTAAAGAAGAAATTCTATTCGTGAGCATCTAAGGAGAAAGATTATATAATAGGATTCCGGAATTTCAATGCCAATGTTTTTTGACATATCAGGGAAAGACTGGCCTAAGAAAAGGAGTGTCATTCTCTGAAATGTTACAGTTACGAACAAAGCCACAACTGATTCTGTGAGTGAATGAAATACCAAGTCATTTCTCTTTTCGTGAGTCCCATTTCTACCATGCCTGTTACCATGGGTTCCACGCGACTATGTCCCATACATAGTCATTCCTTTTCCTTGGGCTTTTTCATATCTTAAATAGTAATACCAGTCTGAAAAATGGCCCTAAAGACAGACTTTCAGGTGTGGGTATGGAAGAAAGCAGGTAATTGTAGACAAAAATGGAATTTATCTGAATATCATTTGTGATTTTTTCAGACTGTAATGAGGGATTCTCTGCTTCCCAGTTAGCCTGGCTATTTCTCTTAAAGGGAAGCTAGCCCACCGTGTTTTCTTTGGGTTCTACCTTTAGAAAAATAGAAATTGGAAACAAATCTAATTGATGTTATCTTCAAACTCCTAGAGGAGGGAAAATAATTTTAAATAGAATAAATCTATGAAAAGTTAAAAACTCAATCATATAAAGTCTTCTTAGGAAATGAGGTAAGATAAGCAAATTTTCTCATTTATTCTTTAGTCTAAAAATAAAAAGAAATTTGAATTAAAGGATAAAAAGATGCTCAAATGGAAATAGAGATGGAAAAGGTGGGATCTACTTTATAATTATGGACCCCCAGTGCCTTCAATGCCACATGGTTATTTTCTTATCTAATTAAGTGCAGACTAGGCAGCACAGAGAAGCAAGTCGTTCACCCTCTGTTAGATGTTGTAATGTGCCACAACGTTGAGCTTAGGTTGCCCACACTCATGATGATGCCTGTGTCACTTAAGGACAACGGTACCCCTGTGTAGGAGATAGGGTCAGAGAAGGCTTCTTATAGAAAAGAAAACGAGAGAAGGAGTTGGCCAGAGATACAGACATAATTGTGGATGTTGCTCTGACCATCCTAGTCTTGTCCCTCATTCTCCTTACATCAGAGAGAGACTCTCAAACCAGCTCCAACACCTATTAACTGCTTTTCTGCAAGGTGTTGCCTTTTTTTTTTTTAAGATTTATTTATTTATTTATGCAAGCACTGGGGTACAGTCAGAAGCGCGGGAGGGTGAGAGAATTCACCAGAGCCAGAGCGGGAAGCAGAGCAGGCAGAAGGACCGAAGTACACTGCTGAGGGGAGCAGCGGGCGGCAGGAGAGGTCTGCGCGCCATGTGGGACCCTCGCCCGGCAGCTGGGGATCGAACTGGCGCTGCAGAGGCTGCGGGCAGCTTCGCAACCCAGCGCTCAACCGTTGCACAACAGGGGAGACCCTGCAAGGTGTTGCTTTTAATGAGTATAAGTGGAAGCAAAGGGGTCATCTCCTAGAGTTGCAGAGTCAGATGTAAGGGAGACAGCAGAAGCCCCATCCAGAGACTCCTGTCCACTCTCCCCATTGTCAATGCCCCTTAAAGCCAACAGTGGTATGTGAAAGGCACGGCTATAGTGGCTTTGTGAACACCATTCTAATGCCCACCTTGGAGCTGGCAAAAGACGACACCTGTTATGAGAGAAGCATTGTTAGTTTGCCTTTGCAATTTATATCAGATGTGAGCATCTGCTATAGGCCCGATATACAGTCAGGATTATGCAGCGGCTTTGGGCATGAGTGGAGAAGGAGAGGAAACCAGCATTTGAGTGCCTGTCATGTGCCAAGAACAGCTTTTTATTGAATCTTCATAAATAACTCAGAAAAAATCACTTTGTACCTTTATCATTCTCATTTTTCAGATGAGACAAGGAGTGCAGAAAAGTTAAATATTTGTCCCAGCATCCAGGTAAAATGTATCCTTTGATTTCAAAGTCCTGACTTATTTTTATCTACCTCAGGCCCTTTGCACTTGCTCTTCCCGCCACCTAAATTGCTCTTTCCCAAGATATCCATATGGCTCCCTCCCTGCCTTCATTCAGAACTTACCTGACTTTCCTGACTTGGCATGAAATTCCATCCTATCACTCTGTTTCCTTCTACAAAAGTTTTCTGTTTCTTCACAGTACTCATCACCCGTCAAACTGGCCCTTAAGGACAAGGTCTTTATTCTGCTCTCTGAGGTAACCCCAGCTCCTAGAGCAGTGCCTCACCCATCATAGATTCTTTCTGCATATTTGCTGAATGACTGGACTTTATCTAATGACTCACGGGTCACACCCATGCCTTCAAAGACACTGGCCCAGCGTGGAGCCACAAAACCAGGTGGGCCAAGTGCTCAAATGAGGGGGAGGAAGAAGCAGCTCTTTTCACTCAGGTGGTCAGGATGGGGGCAGGGCATGGAGCTTTCCTGGGAGGAGTAGAGGAGTTCTGCAGATAGTGGAGGGGGCAGGGTTACAGGTAGAGGAAAGAAAGAGCTTAGCAGGGACAGGGAGTGATGTGTGAACTAGTCAGTGAGAGGCCAGTGTGGCTGTTGCGCCAGGTTTCAATGATTTGGGAGGAGACCTCATGGAGCTGGAACCTGAAGATCATGTAAGGAGCATGGATGTTCTGTCTGTAATGAGCAGGCAGAGACTTGGTGATCTTGGGGTAATGCGATCTTGTTTCAGAGGTGCAATAATAAGAATTCAGTAAGAATGGTAATAAGACTACTCAGAATAATAGAAGATGTCACCTTATCTGGATCTTCTCATTTAACCTTCTCAGCATACATCCAAGGCACCTCTTACCCTTCCCCACCCCCTGAGAAAGTAATGGCCATGCCAGCCTTTGAAGATAATATGATGAAATAATGATTTAAGCCCTGATTTTCAGATATCAGATTCTGTATTTTTCAGTCTCACCAGGGGTTCCCTAAAGCAGATGGCAGAGAGGTCCCACGTGGTGCTGCTTACATTAGAATCTCCAAGGATCTATGATAAAATACAGAGTCCCAGACTCCACTGTCCCTGGGGATGCTCACTCTGCCAGTCTGGCAAAGAACCCTGAAATCTGTTCTTTTTAAAGTTCTTTGGGGATTATAATGCACAGTCAAGAGTCTGGGCCCTTTGCCTGACTGAAGGAAGGATCAAAGGGGAACCTTGGAGGCAGGGAACTGAGGGAGCAGGATTTCAGTTATACACCAAAGAGCCCATGAAAGCATGAGTTAAGGTAACACCGGTGGATATGCAGAGGAGAGGGTGAGTTGATGGCAAAGAAGGACTGACAGGACTGGATCACAAACCTAGAGAAAGAGCTTGAATAACAAAGAGACTAACATGCAATTAGCCATCATGGAGGACACAGGAGGAGGAACAGGTGAAGATTCCTCTCCTGAGTCAACATTTGTCAACATGTTGACAGAGAGAGGCTAAATTCTTTATATGTGTCTTTCAGGAAACTCTGAGGCTTGGTAAACAGAAATGCTGTGCTAGTTCACCAGTTTCAACTGGGAAAAGTCCGAATGAGGGCAACTTTGAGAGATTCCTGCAAATCCCTCATGCCACGGAAGCCACTCTCCTTCCTGGTCCCAAAGTAACACATACCATTCAATCGCTATTTCTCAGCAAGCAGGTCTCAGAATTCATAAGACCTGCTCGGTGCTCTCCCAAGCAACAGAGAAATTAGCAAATAGGCACAAAAGGCTGTCATCTGCATTGTCCCTATAAAGATAATGAAATGGCAGCCAATTGTAATTGTAGTTATATCAAAATGGGTTCTCAATCCTATATTAGCTTCCAGGAGCACCCCAGTGCCTCATTTTCAAGGTAAGCTACTACAAAACAAACATCCAAGGAAACAATATCTGAGGCACATTTAATAAAACTGGAACATGTCATATAATCTGGAAGTGTTACTTCTTGGTTTTCTTTGTTCAACAAACACATTTCATAAGCAAAATGAGATAATGTATGTTATATTCTGGGTGGTTCTGTGGCCTAACAGATAACATGATGGAATTTGCTTCCATTGAAATCTTGCAAATATATTCCGGGCACCCTCCAGCTGGGCCTTCTTCAACACATCACAATCCTCAGCACTGACTAGGCTGTTGGATGGGTGGGGGTCACCAAGGGACATGGAACAAAGAAGTGGTGTCCCTGCTCCCCAAGAAAATTCCCCTAAAGCTGACTGAGAAATCCAGCACTCGCTGAGAGAATATTTTACTTTTCCTTCAATAAGAAAACTCAATTCACCCGCTCCAGGTAACAGAACTGACCCACTCACTGTGGATACCTGGGTGACCCTGAACCCAATGAGACCCATTAGCTCCAGGGAGAGCAGGTGGGATGGCCTCACATGAGGGCCTGCAGACCCAGGCACCGAGTCTAGCTGTGTGGTTGTGACATGGAGCCAGTACCACCCAGCTCATCGCTCATATATTCCCAGTTTCCATGGGGAAAAACTTACAGGTCTGAGTGGAGAATAGCAGGGGATTTAAACATCTTCTTGGCTCTACCCACCTCCTACCTGCTGGGTAAATACCTTGACTTGCTAACAGGATGTCCAGCCTCCGTGGGGATTGAGTTCTTCTCTTGTTTAATGGCACTGTGAGCAACCAGAGGATGAGGCCATGCAGACTTGAACCAAGGTGGGTCAGGTGTAAGTGTGAATGAGAAACACCCACGGCTGTGGGAAATTGCAGGCACCCCACTTTTCCAATTCAGAAATATGGGGTAGAAGTTTATTATAAATATATAAAGAAGTTTATTATAAATACTCTCCCCAGGTGATTATGATGCAGGGGTCTGCAGATCAGGGCTTTAAGGTTCTAAATTCTTTAGAAAAACAGGCACAGGCTGTAATCGCCTAACCTGCTGCCCGGGAGGGTCTCCTGGGAGAGCTGTCGGCTGCAGCATCTGCCGCCTAATTGGCACTTGGCCTCTTAAAAAATAAAATCTTTCAGAGTATACCCATGGTGGCTGACTTTTGAACTTGTCTGCTTAGGGCAAACAGTTCATGTGGCTCTGGCTTAAAGTTCAGAAAGTGGCTTTATTAATTTTTTAAGTGAACTTGAAAATGCTTTTCCTTTGGAGAATTGAAACGAAAGCTTTCTGGATGACTTCATCAATGTTTTGGAGTTTGGTTTTGAGTATTAGGACTAGGTGCAGACATTTGATACTTGGAGATTAAATTTTTCTCATGCAAACAGCCCAGCCAATGGTAGTATTAGCTTCTAATAAAAAAAAAGGGGAAGCACAGAAGGCAGGGATTTAAAGGGACATCTTGTGACATGTTCTTTGAAGCAAGACCCAGACTTATTTATCCTTGTCCCTCAGATCCAAATACACTGTCGAGTTTAAGGCAAAGACTTAATAAAATTCATTTGCTGAATGAATGGATGAATGAATAAACAATCACACAGCTGATTTCTGAGACTCTAAGTCAGACATTTCAAGCTTCCCACTCCAAACTTTCCAGCTATGTGAAATAGGACTGAACCCCACTTCAAGATCCATAAGCAAATTTAACCTCTTCTATAATCTTCTCTAATCCCAAGAGGTAGAAGAGTAGTATATTGTCACTATAAACCACTTTAATTTTAAGTTATTGGTTTATATGTGTCTCTCTTACTAGACTTTATTTTTTTTTTAAGATTTATTTTATTTATGCATACAAGGACTGGGGTGTAGGCCAGAGGTTCCAGGAGTGAGAGGAGTCACCAGAGACAGAGTGGGGAGCAGAACAGGCAGATCTACTGAAATACACTGCTTAGGGGAGCAGTGAATGAGACAGGAGAGGTCTGCTGCACCATGTGGGAAGCTCCCTGGCCAGGGATCAAACTCATGCCCTCATGCCTCAGTGGCTGGTGATAGCTTGATAGCGTTGAGACTTTAACCCCAGCACCACCAGGGAGGACCTCTTACTAGACTTTAAATTGGAGGAAAGTATGGGTCACAATTTATTCATTGTTGATTTCTAATACTTACTCTTGACATTCAGAAACATTCAGGAGGTATTTTACTGTATGGTTATAGAGACAAAAGAATGGATGACAATCATGGGAGTAGGATGGAGGAGCATGGGCTTGAGGATAGCACAGCTAGGTATGCCTATAAAGTGGTAACAGAGCCAGCACTTTGGGTCAATGTATTTTTGATGCCTTAGGTGGTGCTGCTTGTCACATGATCCCTCAGTTTGGGAAACTGTACATCACAAGAGGCCTTTAGGTAGAGCCTGAATGACCATCAGGTGGGTATAATGATGAGGGATTTCATAGATGTCACTGGGTTTGTATTAAAGTGACCTTAACTGGGTCTCCCCTGGGGGCGCAGTGGTTGAGCGCTGGGCTGCGTAGCTGCCTGCAGCCTGCAGCCTCTGCAGTGCCGGTTCGATGCCCAGCCACCGGGCGAGGGTCCCACATGGGGCGACAGACCTCTCCTGCCACGCCCATTGCTCCCCTCAGCAGTGTATTTCATCAGTCTGCTTGTTCTGTTCCCCGCTCTGGCTCTGGGGAATTCTCTCGCCCTCCTGGCTTCTGACTGTACCCAGTGCTTGTATAAATAAATAAATACATCTTTAAAAAATATAAAAATAAAATGACCTTAAGTATCCCTTCTGAAGGTAAAGTTTTGTAATTCTAGAGCAAATTGAAAAAAATCACAATGTGGTTAGATTAAAAAAATGAAACTTAAAACCAAGATGTTTAGGTAAAGTTGATATTGTGAGCATATAGTTAGCAATGCCTTTTCTAGCTTCCTTAGAACACAGAAGTGCTTCTAAGAGATATGTTTTGGGTGGTCCACGGTCTCAGCAAAAGGGGAGATGAATTTGAGCCAGTGCCATCTTTTTGCTTCAGTAAAGCTCTCTGCGGTGGCATTCACTCAACAAATATTTATTGGGTAGTTAATGTATGCAAGGTTGTGTGCAAGGCATAGTAAGTCATGGACACCTAATACCTTCCACTACAGATATTTTGTTGATTTACTGTCAGAGCACTTCACACTCCATTAGGAAACAAACAAACAAAAACATCCAATTACTAAGTCATTAGCACTGCCTTTTAAAAGAGAAGACCAGAATGCAGAACATTCGATTGCAAGGGCCCTAAGAGACCCAGCACAACCTCTTCATTTCACAGATGGAAGAACAGACTCATGTAGGAAAAAATGAGGTACCACTGATGTGCTGACATGGAAAGACAAAAACAAGATATTCGTGAAGTGTAACAAGCAAGGTGAAGGACACCGAGGACAGTATGAACACATTTTTACAAAAGCGGGCAACAAGAGCAAAAATGACTAAATTAGGTATTTGTATTTTAAACATTTGCCTTCTGAAATTGACAGGGGTCAGTGGCTGCCAAATGGAAAAGAGCAGTGAAAAATAGGATAGGATTGGCTTGTGGATTACAGGAAATTTTTTCTCTTGGTTTTATGTGTTTCTTTAACTTTTTAAAATGTAGCTTTGTATTGCTTTTATAACAAATACATACATACATATATACATACATACATATATATGTGACTGTGTATGCACCTATCTATATCAATCAATTAAATGGAAAGAAAAATCCTTGCATATTGCAGGCTGTGGATGAGACTTGCTTCCAAATTCCATTCTGAACATCACTCTACGACATTTTGTGAAACATTCGCCAAGTCACTGAACCTCCCTGAGCTGTTGGATAACATGTGAGGGAATAGTAATCGCACCCATGACTTATGACCGTGGTGAGAATTTGGGAGTTCGGGCGCATCGCCAGTATGGTTGCTGGCACATGGGTGGGGGGGGGGTCTCCATGGGTGGAAATAAAGGCACCATCACATAAGAGTGACAGTGATGCTTCTTATTGCTGTCTAGAAGGGGAGCCTGAACAACAACCTGTGTCCCCTGGCTTGTAGCACAGTGGGTTCCTGTTCTACCAAGCTATTTCCCTGTCTCACTGGAGAAGTACTCAGTCAGATAGATGATCCCAGGGCAGAGAAAACACACTTGAGGTGATGAGGCTTGCCTGCCTTCATGAGGGGAACTGAATTGGTGACTGATGATCAAATATGATCTCTGGAAGTCACCTGTGGTGACCAACCATTATTTTTTGTTATCTATATATATAAATATATTTGTGTGTGGCAAATGCCATATGATATTAAAGCCTTAGGATGACAGGCCAAGAGCATAATTCATGGATGTCAACACATTCACCCTGGCAGGCCAACTCTGCAAAAAAAATAAAAAGGAGGGCCTCCCTGGTGGCACAGTGGTTGAGCGCTGGGCTACAAAGCTGCCCACAGGCTCTGCAGAGCTGGTTTGATCCCCAGCCGGCTGGCAAGTGTCCCACATGGCACACAGACCTCTCCTGCCACGCCCGCTGCTCCCCTCAGCAGTGTATTTCGTCAGTCTGCCTGTTCTGCTCCCCTCTCTGGCTCTGGTGAATTCTCTCACCCTTCCACACTTCTGACTGTACCCAGTGCTTGTATAAATAAAATAAATAAATCTTTAAAAAAAAAGAAAAAGAAAACCCCAAACTGAAAGGTGACAGTTAGACTCTACATCTCCTTTTTGTAAGCATTCCTGAAGTGGGTCACCAGCTGCTGACTGGGGAGTCCTGACCACAGGAGAGGGTGACGCCAGTCCACTCTGACTAATCTTTCTCCCGAGCAGAGCTAAACAGATTTGGGGTTTTAGTGCTGTGGTGTGGACTGCTTGCTCAAGAGGCAGGTCTGCTAAAGACTTGTGAGGGGGTTCTCATTGCAGATACTCACAGTAAGATTTCCATATTGGGGGCTGGTATTCCTCAGCATCTAAAATAAAGAAAAAGAAATCAATCCGTCAGCTGCATGCCAAACTGTCAACATGTGTCTCCTCTGGAGGAACAACAGCCTGTCAGCTACTTGCCTTCTGGTCCCAGGGGTCCCCTCTGCTCATTTATGGGACACTTCCAGGCGGGAGGGAGGAAATATGAACAGTAACACTTGTGGACCCAACACCACTTTATTCAGTTCACTTCCCATGACAGAATCAATCGTTTAATCATTTTCACAGAGACCAGTAAATCAAAAAAGATTTTTTAAAGCAATGAACTTAATTGTACCTGCCCTCCCCAACCCCCCAGTAATCCTTTCAAGCGATATTTACATAAGCTGGCATAATAAACATGCAATTTATCTCACAGTTTCTAATCAGACCTTTAGCCCATTCATTAAGACTTGAGGGCAAGATGCAAAGTGACAAGTATATAAAATTAAATCTTGAAACTGTGCAATCAACCAATTGAGCACCTAAAATACTAGATCTGACAGTAAAGATGCTGATGATTCCATTGGAGTCACATCATTGTCACACACTCCAGTGTGTGACGTAGGAAATTTCCAGAAAGCCTCTCAATAATCTGAAAGAGTGAAAGAGTTTCAACAAAATGGAGAGGACAAAATTGTTATTCATCAGTCTGGAAAACAGTCAGTGGGAGAAAATTCGCTTGTTCTGTCCATGCAACAACCCCAGAGCTCACAGCTGAATTTATAATTTGGAAAGAGTTATCAGAATCCTCCTGAGCGCATAGCTAAGACCTTGGTCAACAGACTGCAGCTTATAATCAGAAGGAAAAACCTTTTCTCCCCAAATCACAGGATGTTGTGTGTGGGTGGGATGGGGTGGGGGGTGGGGGTGGGCAGTTCTCTGGTTCAGCACCTTTACTCCGATAGGGAAGTTCTGCTTTGCCATCCTGGGCTCCTGCACTGCCAGGGCCTCACTAAACCGCTCTTACAGGACACTTAATATGGCGCTCCAGCCACACTCTACTTTCAGGCAAAGGAATACAATGTTTCTGACCTTATGCAGCAAGTCAGTTTGAGAAATTCCCGGCCCCCCACCCCCAACCGAGAAAGAGAGAGAGAGAGAGAGAGAGAGAGAGAGAGAGAGAGAGAGAGAGAGAGATGCTTTTAGAAATAAAAATTTGGTGAACTTTTCCAAATTCACTGTGACAGCTGTGTGGCTTAATTTTTTTTTTTTTTTTTTTTTGCCTTTTGTTTAGATTGCCCACACTTTATATAAACCATTTACCCTTTTCCAGTGTCTTCTTATAGGAAATATAACAGAGAGAAGGAAGCTGCCTATGGAGACTGAAGATCACAATGCTCTCTGGCTTAAAATCCTCCAATATCTCCTCTCTGCATTTGGAATAAATGCAAAACATCCTACTGTGACTAAAGGCACTGGTCCCTGCCACCCCTTTGGCTGCATGGAAGACATTTTTCCCTGTTTCACTTAGCATTCAACCACCCTGGCCTTCTCTATTTCTAATACAGGTAAAGCTCTTCTGAACCCCCAGCCTTTGTTCATCTGGACCCTCTATGCAAAATACTTTCCAACAAGGCTTTGCAAGGCTGGCTTACTCCCTCAGGTAAGTCTGGGCTAAATGTCACCTCCCAGGGGTTTCCCCTGCCAATCTTGTATAAAGTAGCCTCCCCTCAACCCCAGTCACTCTTCCTGCACTTATTCCATTTGAAATAATTTATTGATTTGCTGGCTTGTTATTACTGGGCTTACCCCACTGCTAGTCAAACTCCATACAAGCAGGCTATTTGCCTCATTCACGTGCCTCTCACCAACCCCCAGAAGGTTGTCTTGTATACCACAGACAATCAGAAAGTATGTGCTAAATAAATGAGTCAACTCTCAGGGTTCAAATATTACCTCTGACAACGACTGGCTGAATATCTTGAAGGTGACGTAACTTGCTTAAGAGCCTCTCAATACTCATCTTTGCAAAACAGGAAAAATTAAAGTACCTCCCTCAAACCTATTTCTTAGGATTATTGTGGGAATTAAATGAGAAAACGTATATTAAATTCTGGGGACAGCACCAGGCGAATTGCCAGCTCTCAGTGAAACCCCACTGATGCCACTGTGCTGTGGTATTGTCACCTCACCCCGTCCTGTTCTTCCCAGGTAAGCTCATAGTCTTGTTTTCTCTCCCTTTACCGGAGCAAACGACGGTCTCTGTCCTGGCCCCCAGCTCTGGACCCTGTAATTAAGTTCCAGTACTGTTGTCATGGAAAGTTTTTCTTTCCCATAAAAGAATCAAAGTGAGAGGCCATTTGTCATGCTTCAATAGCACAGCTATAATTACCTTAGTCTTAGAGACACATTTCACAAACCACTAAAGTGCACTGTTAGGAAACCATGGTCAAAAGAACCGGCGCAAAATATTTTTAATATGTTGAAATAAATCTTCAGTTGCCTTCAATACTGCCCCACCAACACACACTCGCCCCAGTTTCACACATTACTTTTCAAAGACCTATTTTACTCTTACAGAGCATGAAACTTTTCTTTTTTTTAATTTGGAATAGTTTTTCAAGGTTATTGAGTTCACCTTCCCCATTTGGCAAATGAAGAAAATGAAAGCAGAAAGATTAAGTGGCTTCCTCAAGGTCATAAAATGAGTGAGCAGCAGAGGTGGGAGGAGAGACCAGGATCCCTGCCTCCCGGGCCCAGGCGCATCAGTCACCAGGCAGTCCACTCTCATTTACATATACTGAGATCAGGACAAAAATATTACATATTTGTTATTTCAAATAAAAAATAAAAAAGAAAATGGAGAAAAGTAAAAATTAGCAGCATGAAAAATTTAACATCAATCAAGTGGGAGGATGTTATTCCACATACGCATCACCCAGCCAAGAGCTAAAGTTCAGAGATGCAGGGTATTGGAAGTCTTGGCAGCATAAGACATAATGCTGATGGCAAGTGCATTCTTTTGTTAAATATTTTAGAGAAATTGGCATAATGCAGAAGGAAGGGAAAGGAAGTAGAACATTAGAGCTTCATGTTCTAAGAATAAAAACTACCATTGGAGTCAGAAGACAATTACACATTTTGGAAAGGAACAAAGATTTAGAAGGGTCAAGAAGGCTTAGCAAATATATTGCTTTAAAAATATTGACTAATGTGTTCTGAAACTTTTCAAAATGTGTAAGCCCTTTGACTCAGCAATTCTATCATGGGATTTCAGCTTAAGGTAGTAAATGAACACCTGTACCAACACATTAGGTGTTCATGGCTTTGTGTGATAGCGACTCTAACAGCGCAGGAAGAAGACAGCAGTGGAAGAGACTATCATGTACAGTAGCCAGGCACATGATGGGGTGGGCCAGAGTTTTGTGGTCAAGAGCAAAGCCTCTGGATTGTCTAGTCTTCAAAAGCTAGCTCTGCCTGTTACTAGCTGCGTGACCTTTGGCAAGTTACCTAAACTTTCTGAGCTTCAGTTTTTAAATTTCTTAAAGGGGAGTAACAATGTTCACCCATATACAGCATGGTGGAGGGAAATGTTGGTTAATATGTATAAAACACTTAGTCTGGTGTCTGGCATCTAGTAATCTCTATGCTTGCTGTCGTTAATTATCCATTTTTACGGACTGAAAAATATCCACGCTATGTTAAGTATTAAAAAAATCGGGTCACAAAACAACTTATTAAACATCTCATTTTTAAAGAAGAGATAAAATTTTTTTATACATAGAAATTATCTACAGGACTATAAACTGAATCATCAACAGTTGCTATACCTGATAAAAATATAGGTGATTTCTAATTATCTCTTCTTTGACTTACCTGAATTTTCTAATTTTCTGTTCATATTGCTAGTATAAAAATTAATATAAGAAATAAATTCAGGGGAATGCTACGTGGTTTCTTTTTTAACAATGTTTTTTAACATGCTATAGAAATAAATCACTACTCTGGAAATAAAGTAAAAGTAAAAAAGCCCAATAGAAAGACTTTTTATACTAGCACACACAGCCTATGCAGTGTTTGTGCAGGAATTGCTAAGGGTGAAGAATAGAGAAAAAAGACAAGTGCTTCTGTGGCATAAGACCATGCCCAAGTCCCTTGGCCCTCTTTTTGAAATTTCAAAATAAACATGAATGAGCAATGCCAAGCAGGCTGGGAAGCAGGTATCTGCTTTCATTAAAAGAGGGAAGATAGATATAGGAACTTAGAAAATCATCAAAAATAGGTAAATACTACCACACAAATGAAATAATATATAAAGAATCTGAACACATTAAGCAAAAAGAAAAGAAAAACTGGCTAATGACCTATAGGTACAAGTTAAAACTTGGAAACAATCTTGAGAAAACCTGTTGAAAGGAATCAATCCTTGAAAAGACAGCACTGCTGCTCTGAACTCTGGGGGGACAGTGAAGAATTTGGGGATCAGCACAGGGAAAGCTCTTCAATGTCTGAGACCCAAGGAGAAGAAATGGGTGATCAAGAGCACATGTCATAAAAAGTCATCTTTTGAGAGCATGCTAAAAATAATTTCATATTTCCATTTCCTTTATTAAATTTAGAAGCCATACACATTGTTGAAAAGCAGAAAAAGTCCAACTATGCAGCAATGATGCATTCTATGTGTAGTATAGGTTCTGGGAAGATGAATCTCTGGGGTCAGGGCTGTATATATATTTTTTATTTTAAAACTGTTACAATGGCCTTCAAAAAGTTGTAGCCATTTGATGTTTCAAATACATGTGAAAGAATGCCAGTTTGGGGCCTCCCTGGGGGTGCAGCGGGTTGAGCCATGCACTGTGAAGATGTCCGCAGCCTCTGCAACATGGGTTCGATTCCCGGCTGGCCAGGGAGATACCGATATGGCGTGGCAGACCTCTCCTGCCTTGCCTGCTGCTCCCCTCAGCATTGTCTTTGGTCATCTGCCTGTTCTGCTCCCTGCTCTGTCTCTGGTGAATTCTCTCATCCTACTGCGCCTCTGATCTGTACCCCAGTTCTTGTATAAATA